TCTATTCCTGCCAGGTATTGTCACATCCTTTCCTTTTGCAGCAAAATTTCTCGAGAGAGCTGCCTACAATAGGTCCTTCCTACCTTCTTGCTAACTTTTCTTAACTCTGTGTGATCTGGTCTTTCACTATTCAGCCAAAACTTCTTTCTATGAAATTACTAAGTCTCTTAATTGTCAAACTTAATGGTCTTTTCTTAAACTTCAATCTTTGTGACCCTTCTGTAGTGTTGCCCAGACTCTTGATTACCTGTTTCCCATATTAGTCTCACTTCTGAGTTTTCAGTATCACCAGTTGCCTACTGGACTTTTGATACTAATTAACCTGGAAAATTTTCAAATTCATCATGTCTGAAACCAGTCTTACTTTTTTTGGACTGCCACTATTGAAAGTATCAATATTTTTACTTTTGGTTTCCAGGTAACACTGGCATCAACTTTAGCTCTTAATTATCCTCCATACTATGTAGATGTCAAATGTTGGCATATCTGCATTCCAAATACCTTTTACATTTAACATTTCAATTCAGGCCATCATCACCAATATCGTATTTTACCTAACAATATGTCTAACTAAATTACTGCCCCATTCATGAAACTCAAGTAGTTCTCTGTTTTCCCTAGAATCAAATGTATACTACACTATTTGATGTTTAAATTCCTTATAAACAAGTCTAACGTATTTTCCATGTTCATATTATAATTCTTATACACACTGAGTTTCAAGAAAGTCTTCTTTCTTACCATTACATCTTTAACCCCTGTACTTTTGCACTGCATACACATGTCTAGAATGTACTGATTTCATCCACAAAAATCCTCACTTTCTTTCAAAACCTTATATTCAAAGTCTTTATTCCCAAGTTACTAGCATGTTACTTCTTCAACTGTGTAATATTTGACTGCGAATCTACATGCATAAATGTTATTTCTGCACCATAGTCCAACATCTATTTGAAAAAGAGGGCAGTATAGTTTTAGTACATTTCAGTATAATTCATTATGAGATTTGTGGAGTTAAGAGCTGGCTATTGCATTGATCAGGATTTTTAAGTCTTCCAAAGTTGTCTAATTTACCTCTTTGTATAAATTGTTCTTATATCACTCAGTTTAGTTCTCCCAAGTTTCTCTAAACATTTTAGAATATTTTTGTGAATAATCATTTGAAAAGTAGGGGTTATGCAAAGTTTATTTTCATCAGCTTACTCCTTACCTGTAATGCTTTTTATTTATTGGGCTGTTTCCTCAGCTTGTGCTTACATTTTAGAGTTGAGCCTCTACATAGTGTTTATTATTAACAGTCAGCCAACATAGTTGTAGGAAAGCCATTTGCTATGATGGTATAGCATAGTAATTAAAACAAATAACCCTCTACAATTCCAGGGCCATATTTTACGCATAGTGATGGTTACAGAGTAGGCTCAAATCTGGTTGCAATGGTAATGAGACACATGTAGGGAAGAACAAATGTTGCCCAAGTAAGTTAAAAATTCCGATATTCATATAATAAATCCCCCATACAGGAGCAGGTTGTTTAGCTAGTCTACTTGCTAATGCGTTAAAACTTGATTGCATTTTATGGTATTAGTCTTGTCTGGGGCTTGGGTAAAAAAGTCAGATAGTACTAATCCCTTCTTTACACAGGTTATCAGAACATAGCAAATAATATCTTCTAATTTTTAGGAAGTATAAGAAGTACAGTTAATGCAGTGTAATTATGCATGAAGTACTAGTAGTAATATTTATATGACAACTTATGGTTTGCAGAGCACACATACATTACTGCACATGTATGACCACCGTTTTAAACTTAGACTAGCTCTTACGAGATTAGTGCCACTGATATGATTGCTCCCATCTTACAGAGAGAAAACTGAAGTTCACAGACATTAAGTTAATTGCACAGGATTACACATTGAGAATGGAAGCGTGGTATTGGTAAAGCACAGCAACCATGTCTTTTCAAATTTTGGAGTTGCCACTTGTATGATTTTTCAAAAGTCTGAGTTTAGACTAAATGATGTCTAAGGATCTTTTTAGCTCTTATTCAATGATCCTAAGTGTTGAAGGTATAGTGTAGAATGAATACTTCCTGATTCCACGGCCCATAATCTATACTGTCCCTTATGTAGATGGGGGTTAGAGACTGAAACTAATGCAAAGGCCTTAAGCACTTTACACTAAGAGAAATAAGCAAAAAAAAATCTTTAACATTTTGATAAATTGTAATGATTAGCAAATTTTTTTAATTATTTTTTTTCCTTTCAGGGGTATTTTGAGGAAGACAGGATGAATGAATTCATACCATCAGATTCTGATGAAACCTCACTGAGTTTAAGTTCAGATGATTATCCTAAGTAAATAGAATCTTTCTTTGTAAAATATGCTGTGTATTTTTTCATTTCAAACTTCCATAAATAGTAATAGTAATGTAATAAAATTAAAAATAGCTATCATTTTCATGTAATAGCTTATCATATTAAATTTTGCTCTAACATTTATTAGTTAGGAAAGAAGATCCGCATATGTGTATATTCTCACTATTATAGTTCAAATTGTCATGTATTATACACATATATATGTATGTACATATGCATACATACACATATATACATTTATATACTGATACTCATATGCATATAGATCATAGAATTTGCACTTAGAAGTTGAAGATATCTTGATTGTTTCCTTTTTTGTTTTTCTAGTCTCCTTATTTTTCTTGGAATTTTAAAAATTAACAATTGAAGGAAATCAGAGAACTTACAGAAGAGTAGTAATAATGACTTAATATTTTTAAACTTTTTAACATTTTTCAACTATGTTCTTTGAATCTATAAAATATTGTATTAAAGTTTAAATTTTCTGTAAAATGAGCAGTGCCCCATTTAAGTCCTTTACAAAGCTAAAATTTGTGCATTTTCCAGAAATATATATTTTCTGAATTAAAATATCAGTATTTTACCAAAAAATATTTATTTTAAATTTAAATATTCATTTTAAACTTAATTTTCTAAAAAGGCGCTGCCCTGCTTATTTGGGATGATGTAATGTTAAATAAGCCAAACTTTTTTTTTGATAGGATCATGGAAAAATCTAGCATTTAAACCTGGAAGGAAATATAGGAACATTTCTGTAATTTTACATGAGAAATTTTTTTGGTTTACTTTATAATTAGCCCTATATTACAGATTCAAATTTTTTTTAAATTCATAATCTTTTCTAGGAAAAAAAAGTTCAAAGGGAAAAAAAGAACTAGCTCAGGTGGACATGATGCAGAAGTAATTAAAGTATGGAATTCAAGATCCAGAGGTGGTGGTGAAGGGCATAAGGATGAGCTGGCCAGCATTTCATCTGTGATGGTAAAAAAAGAAAAAAGTGAGTCTAATGTAGAAGTAAACTTTTGTATTTATGTAAGGATCAAAAAATATTGGTAATATGATATCAGCTATTTACTTAGGGTTAGGTGAATTTCTTGGCAGGTGAAGCAGTGGGTTTATTATTGACAAAATGTAAAGTCACATTACAGTTTACATTAAGATTTCATCATTTCAGAACCTACTAAGTCTGTAGTTTAGATCATTGAGATTGAGTAGGGTATACTTTGACCTTTTTAAAAAACAGATTTATTTTCTATGTAAGTTGTGTAAAGATTTAATTAAAGATTTTTTAAATGTTAATATTTAATACCCTTAGTATTTATTTACCCAGCATCTATTAATGAAATTATTTAGCCTGTTAATTTTTAAAAGGATTAGAATACCATTTTGCTTAGACCTTATTAGATTATTCCACATTCTTTGAGCTTAAAAGTAACAAAACTTCATTTCTGTTTGTATTTATATATATGTACATTAATATAGGATATATTTTTTCCTGTATTTTACTTTCTAAAACATAGAGCTTCTTAGGTAATACGTAAGCGAATGTTTCTAGAAAGTTCAGTGGGAAAACAATGAATAAACTAAATCACACGAAGGACCATCATAAAGGCTTCTAGCAATTAAATTGAAAAGCATATAATAAATGAACAAAAATAACAGTCTCTGTGAGATTTAACAGACACTTTTCTTTCCCATGATTCCAAGTGAAATGGCACAAAGAGAACACATGATAGGCAGAACTTCAGATATATTTATCCTAGAGTGACACAGGTTAAAGACGCTAAAGGATTGATTTTCAAAGTATCTGAAAGAAGAAAAATACAAATGCTTGATAAAATGATTATGGACTTTATTATTCTGAAAACAAGTTACCAAGAATATATCACCAACTGCTGTCCTCCTTCTTTTCTCATCTTAACAAAACCTTTATGAGAATAATTTACATACATTAACGCTCTCCTTGCTAATGGTATGTGAAGGAAATAGGCAGAGTTTTGCAAATATAATCTCTTCTTTTTCTTGCATGAATAAAAGAAGAACAGAATACAGCAATGATTTATTGAAAATATTTGATTCAGTAAAACATATTGCAGCTTTGAAGACTGATCTAAAAGAATCTCTCTTGTTTTTTGGCCATATCACAAGACTCATTGATAGATCTGACATCAAAAATAAATTTCTACAGTGAGTGTTTCACATTAGGCAACATATAAAACAGATGAATGTTTCCCAGGTCTTTGCCACTAACCTGGAGGATATCCAACGAGAGTCCTGATGGGATTTCTTTATAAAATTCTCCAGCTGTACCTTTTTGTGAGCGACATCATTACATCAAGCACCAAAACATTTCAGAGCCACCTAAATGGGATCCATATTTTCTCAAGAGTCTCGCTTAACTATCCACAAGAAAAATCTAGTAGACGGAGAATATCTGTTGTTTAGGCTTCAATTATACAATTATACAGTTGGAGTATGTCAGTTAGCACTTATGTATTAGACAGATACTGAACAAAAAACTAGGCATAGATTTGAAGAGTAGGAAAGTAGAGTGACTTGATTTGCCTTTTTGAAATTGTGCAGTGTAATGACAGCAGTCTCTTTCATGGGTTAAGTTCTTCTTTTTTCAAGAATTATTTAGTTTTGGTGACAGATTTGGAGTGCGTCACACCTATTGAATCATGGACTATATATAAGAAGTGGACTTTTCTTTCTTTCTTTCTCTTTTTTACATTTTATTAATTTGTTTTCATTTATCAACAATCACTTCCATAAGCTTTTGAGTTTTAAATTTTTCTCCCTCTCCCTCCCCATCTCCCTCCCCAAGACGGCGCACAATCTGATATAGACTATACATATACATTCCTATTAAACATATTTTTACATTAGTGATGTTGTAAGAATTAGAACCAATAGGAGGAACTACCAGGAAGAGGAAATAAAACACAACAGAAGAAAAAAATAGCAAATAGTATGCTTCGATGTGCATTCAAACTCCATAGTTCTTTCTTCCTATGTGGATAGCATTTTCCATCATGATGCCTTTGGAGATGTCTTAGATACTTGTATTGCTGAGAAGGGTTAAGTCTATCAATATTAGTACCTAACTGCTTATGAAGGCTACTACTTTAACTTAATTTTAGAACTTCTTTTAACATTATTATTACTGTTAATACTTCTCAGGAAATCTTACAAGCATATTTGGACTCCAGCTACAAACTTTCAATAGAGTTTAGGAATATAGAAAACAGATAGTGGAGAAAAAGAACCAATGTGGTATAGACATGGAAGTCAAGGAAAGAGTTTTATAACGAAAGAAAATTTTATAGTTTCACGCTAAATCTACTTTCATTTTTGACAGGAATGTTTTTTTCCTGTATCTCTTAATTTAAAAAAAAAAAGGAGCTAAATGAAAAGCCCTTGAAATTTTTTGACATAGATATATCAAAATACAGTTATTAAAACATTCTCATTTTGCTCCTATGATAGGATATGATATGTCCATAGCAATAATTATTATTTACAAATTATGATCATTTTTAGTTTTTCCAAACTAGCAATGTCTTTTTCACATTTTTCTAAGTGCTCAGTAGGCTTTGTAAATAATATATTCTTAGTAAACTTTGGGATATATATAGATAAATAAGTGCATACATTTTATTGCCTTATTCTCAAGATACTAAAAAGAATTAAGCCAAAAAAAATTATGGTCTATCATCCTGATTCAGAAATAGATACAAGTATATATAAGGTGGCTCAGGGGAGAGAGTATGCTTAGAGTCAGGAAGACCTGGGTTTAAATCCAACTTCAGGCACTTAATTGCTGTGTGATGCCAGGCAAGACAATCTCTATTTGCCTTAATCCACTGAAGAAGGAAATGGCAAACCACTTTAATATACTTGCCAATAAATCCCCATGGACATTATCATCCATAGGGTCACAAAGAATCAGCACACATGAATGACTGAACAGTAAATATATGAACTATATTGAAATTATAATTATATTGACTATCCTAGTAATATCCCAGTGATTAAGAATTATTTCTGATTTTTATAAATTCCAAATATGCTTTTAGTTTTCAGAATGCTAAGAAAGTTATGTTTTTAAAACTTAACACTGTCTCTTTATTTGTATTGTATTGTATTTTAGGAAGAACAACATACTTTTCAAATCCAGGCAGCACTTCTCCAAGGTGGTACAAAGATTTTATTACGGATTCTGATGCTAAAGTGTTGGAACATTCTGGAAAAATGGTACTTCTTTTTGAAATTCTTAAAATGGCCGAGGAACTTGGGGATAAAGTGTGAGTAATATATACTTCTTGAAAAATGGATTTGTATTCATCCCAGTGTGATTAAATTAAATTACTTATTCTTCTAGTAGCATATTTCAAATTTGGATTTGATTTTCTATATTTCTGTCTTCTAAAGAAAGCTCATTTTGGTGAGAGTTAATTCTTGTTTGCTGTCTCAAATACTTCTCAGAGAAATTAACACCCATCCTTAGGCAGCTATGTCTGTTAAAGTCTTACTTAATGGCCAGAGAATACGAAAAATGGACTTTTTAAAAACAGTTTTAGTTATAAGTTAGTCTCCTTTATAAAAAATATTCGAAGAACTGGAGCCCATCACTTATAAGAACCATGTTTCACATGTGCTTTTTTAGTCTCCATAGCACTTAATCAGCACAGTGTTTTGCACAAAGCTGATATTGCTTAAATAAAAAGAAGGAAGAGTAAGTCCAAGGGAGAGAAAATTGAACTAAATTTAATATTAAGCGCAATGTACTACTTCCTACCAAATCAATGAAATTATTTATAACGTATCCATGGTAATCAGCATTAGTTAATAGTGTTATAGATTTCATCTGGAAAAAAAAAATAACAAAATAAAACAAAGAAGTAAATAGAGTTTGGTTTCAAACTGTGGTCTCCTAATTCCAAGTCTGACACTCTTTCCAATATGTTGCTGACATTATTCAATACTTAATATTTGGAATTGGATGTCTTTAGCTTTCACTAAACTGAAATACAAAATAAAAGTTTATGGCAGACTAAATTTACTTTATTATATTTTTTTTAAACTGAAATTAGGCCACATTGTTTCCAGTTGATTACTCATGTTGTCCTAGGTTGTGCTTGATAAGGCAGTTCCTCCCAAATCCTTCTAATGAAGTCCCTTGTTCATTAGGTCTTTGCTGCTTTTGTAGAATTCTGGTTTATATGTCATTATATATAAATGTAATATATATGTCATTATATGTAAGTGCAACACCAACAAAATATGATAGCATATTAAAGGAGAATAAGGATCATGACAAGGAATTTTTAGACAGCAATTTCAATAAACAGCACTTTTTTTTCTTCCCAGGCTGGTGTTTAGCCAATCTCTCATATCTCTGGACTTGATTGAAGATTTTCTTGAATTGGGAAATAAGGAAATATCAGATGATAAAGACAAGCCTCGAATTTATAAAGGTAAGTCCACCCTTTAATGCTGAATTTCTGAAAAAAAAAGTTTTGATATCAGTAAAGAAAACTATTAAACTAATAAAAAAAACTAGGAGCTGGTTTTGTGAGAAAATAAAAAAGAAAAAAAGATCACATAATAGATAAACCAGTGGTTAATTTGATTTAAAAAAAGAGAACCAAATTACCAGTATTAAAAAAAAAGGGTGAATATAGCACTAATGAATATGAAATTAAATTAAAACAATTAGTAGGAGTGCTTTTGCCCAATTATATGCCAACAAGTCTGACAATCTAAGTGAAATGGATGAATATTTATAAAAATAAAATTGCCAGACTAACAGAAAAGAAAATAGAACATGCTCCATTTAAGAAAAAAAATGAACAAAACATCAATAATCTCCTAAGTCCAGATGGATTCACAAGTAAATTCTACCAAACATTTAAAGAACAATTATTTCCAAAAATATATAAACTATTTGAAAAAAAATAGACAAAAAAGGAGTCCTTAAAAAATACTTTTGACACAAATATACCTAAACAGGGAAGGGCCAAAACAGAGAAAGAAAACTCTAGACCAATTTCCTTGATGAATATTCATTCAAATATTTGAAATAAAGTACTTGGAAGGAAGTTATAGCAATATATCACAAGGATTTTACACTGTGAGCAGGTGGAATTTATACCAGGAATGCAAGGCTGGTTCAACATCGGAAAAACTAGCAGCATAACTGACCATATCAATAACAAAACAAAGAGAAATCTTACGATTATCTCAATAAATGCAGAAAAAGTTTTGACAAAATACAACATCTATTTCTATTAAAAACATTAAAGAGTATAGGAATAAATGGAGCTTTTCTTAAACAAAGTAGTAACTATCTAAAACAATCATCAAGTGTTATCTGTAAAGAAGATAAGCTAGAAGTCTTCCCAGCAATATTAGGAGTGAAGCAAGGCTAGCCGTTAAAATCACTATTATTCAATATTGTCCTAAAAATGATAGCCTTGCAATAATATAAGAAAAAAAATTAAAGGAATTAGAATATTAGAATAAACAATGAGAAAGCAAAACTACCACTCTTTGCAGATGATATGTTGGTATACTTGGAGAATCAACTAAAAAACTACTTGAAATAATTAACAATAATTAACAGTTTTAGCAAAGTTGCAGGATATAAAGTAAACCCACATAAATCATTTGCATTTCTATATATTACTAACAGAAAGAGATAGAGAAATTCCATTTAAAATAACTCAACAATATAAAATACTTGAAAATCTACCTGCCAAGACAAACCTAGGAACTATTTGAACACAATTAGAAAACACTTTTCACCCAAATAAAGTCAGATCTAAACAACTGGAAAAATCCTAATTGCTCATGGGTAGTCCAAGTCAATATAATAAAAAATAACAGTTCTACCTAAATTAATTTACATATTCAGTGCCATCCCAATCAAACTACAAAATATCTATTTTGTAGAGCTAGAAAAAAAAAATATATGCATCTGGAAGAACAAAAGGTCAAGAATATCACAGAAATTAATAAGTGACCAGCTAAATGACCATCAATTAAGTAAATAATTGAGTAAATTTTAAATTTTATTTAGAGTATCTATTTTGCTATGCATTTTTGCTATGTAGCATTTATATGAGTAATTTTCAAATTTGAAAAGTGGTTTTTAAGTAGAATTAAATATTTAATGAAACTTGATTTTGTGTGTATGTGCAAGGTATGTTTATTAAGGAACTAAACATTCTAGTGCTAGATTATAATATAATAGACCCATTTTTACTATTTAATATGTAGGTGAAGGAAAATGGTTTCGAAACATTGATTATTATCGTTTGGATGGTTCTACAAGTGCACAGGCAAGAAAGAAATGGGCTAAAGAGTTTAATGATGAAACTAATGTGAGGTGGGTACTTTTAGATTTTCTTTCCTCATTTATGTTGCAGATCATTACCAGTTTATAGGGGCTGCTTTCTTTCTTTGTTATCTTCAAAGTGATTTTGTTACTGATTTTATTTGGCATCCAGTGCATATTTCTTGAAAACTTTTCAGTCAATACAGATATACCCCCTAACTAGAAAACTGTTTTCTTATTATTTCCCCCTTCTCGGTTTTTGTTAAAATCCCTGTAATCTAGCATTTTTCTTTCAAATTCTATTTTGAAATTCTCTAGTCATCTGGTTTTATTATCTTCTCTCAATCATTTCATGTAATAAATTACAAATCTGACTTTTTGATTCATCAGTAATGAATCGGAATAAATCCAGGTTATCAAAATCCATATAAAACTTCCTGCCTCAATAATAGTTAAAGAAATGTAAATTAAAAGAATTACAAGTTTCTATCCTATACCCATTAGATTGGCAAAGATTAATAGACAAAAGAAAATGACAAACGTTGGAAGGAATGTGGAAAAACAGAAACATTATAGCACTGCTGCTAGAGCTGTGATTTCATTTAGCCATTCTTGAAATCTGTAAAGAATTAGTAGCTAAAAAATGGAATAGGAAAATGTCATGAAAAAGTGACTAAATTCTGCAAACACTTTGATTTAACAGTACCACCACTATGCTGATAATAACCCAGAGAGATCAAAGAAAGGGAAAGGATCTCTGTATCTAAAAATATTTATATTTGTAGCAGTTCTTTTTCTAGTGACAGAGAACTGGAAACTTAGAATGGTGTGTATACATTGGGGAACGGCCAGAGAAATTATGGTATGTGCTTTTGATACTGTACTATTCTATAAGAAATGAAAGGGAATGTTTAAAGAGAAACTTGGGAAGACTGGTATGAACTCAATGCTGAATAAAGTGAGTAGAACAATGGTAGCAATTTTTCTTTTTCTTTTCTTTTCTTTTCTTTCTTTCTTCTCTTTCTTTCTTCTTTCTTTCTTCTTTCTTTCTTTTTTTTTTGTGGTAATTGGGGTTGAGTGGCTTGCTCAGGGTCACACAATGAATAAGTGTCAAATGCCTGGTCTGAGACTGGATTTGAACTCAGGTTCTCCTAACTCCAGGGCAGGGTCTTTACCCACTGTGCAATGGTAGCAATTTTTACAATAAGAATAACATTTCTGTCAAGACAAACAACTTTTCAAAAGCCTTAAGTACTTTAATTTTTGGCTTGTTCTTCTGTGATTCCAAGGACCAATTATTTGCTGTCTACCTTCTGATAGAGAGATATAATAGTCTCCAGACTCAAGATGCAGAATAAGACATGCATTTTTTTCCTTGGATTTAATCTATAGGGAAATTTCTTTTGTTTGTCTGCATGTTTGTGACAAGAGTTTTCTGTTTCTTTCATTTTTCCCCTTTTTAATTTAGGGGTTTAAGGTACTGGAAGAAAGAAAGTACATGTTTCTTAATTGAATAAATAAGTAAAATAAGTTAATCAGAGATTATTGGTTAAATGTCAGTGTGCTTTTCCCTTCATATTTTGATAAGTTATTGCTACTTGAAATACTTTGTCTGCCTAGATTACTTGGCTACATGCTTCTGTTTCTGGTGTGTGGCAAATGTACCTACATATTTTCTTACTCCTAAAGGCAATATTTCATGGCAAATTTGTTAATTTTATAAGAATAATCTTTTATTAGACTAATTACTTTTTTCTTTTTAAATTTGTAGGGCCGCCTCTTCATTATTTCCAGCAAAGCAGGTTCAGTTGGCATTAATCTGGTAGCTGCTAATCGAGTAATCATCTTTGATGCCTCTTGGAATCCGTCCTATGATATTCAGAGCATATTCAGGGTTTATCGCTTTGGTCAAAATAAACCAGTCTTTGTATACAGGTTTTTAGCTCAGGTAAGTTTCAACTTTTCATATAATAAATTGAAAGTACAAGCAAAAGTTTGAAACTGGTGAGCAATTATAGGTAAGTAAAATGGCATTTCATTCTTTACATACAATCAACTTTAGTATTTTCCTTGAGCAGACTAGGCCATGTCAAAATATGTTCATTGGTCAGTAATTCCCCTCCCCTAATTAATATCATACATGTATATGTATATATAAACAGATATACACACATATCAATATATTTGCCAGTCATTGTATTAAGTATTGGGATTTCAAAGAAAAGCAAAAACAGTTGCTTCTCTTACTGACCTCACAGCATGCAAACAGCTCTGTTGTTTGAGATATATAGAGTATACCAAAAGCAGTCAGCATTGAGAGGGTCTAGAAAAGGCTTCTTTCAGAAGTAAATTGAAACTTCAGGAAAGAAAGGAAGCTTTAGAGACAAGAAAGGTGAACATTCCAGCCAGCAAAAAGGCACTTGATTGGGAAATGGAATCATGTGTGAGCAATGACAAGAAGGTCATTGTCACTCAATCAATGTAAGTGGAAGGGAGTTAAGCCTAAGAAGATAGATACGAACTTAAGTTGTAGGATTTTATCCTAGAGATAATAAGGAATTACTAGAGTTTATTGAGTAGGGGGGTATGACAAGTAGACCTATGCTTTAGGAATAAAAAGTGAATAAATATACGCATGTATGTGTGTGTGTGTGTGTGTGTGTGTGTGTGTGTGTGTATATATATATATATGTGTGTGTGTGTGTGTGTGTGTGTGTATATGTATATATACGTATATACATATATATGTATATATATATATATATGTATGTATGTATGTGTATATCATACTTTATTAATGCCATCTACTAGCAAATCCCCATAAAAATCTACTGCTCTATCTTCTAACTGAGCTACTATCCAATGTTATGTGGACATCATGCATGTCACTCCTGAAGGCTATGCTGGCAGTTTCAGGTAGTGTACTCCCAGCTAAGGCTTTTACATGGATCTTCTCCAACTGTTTGAAACTCTGACATTGGTTGACCTGCAATGAGGAAAGAAGAAATCCAATGAGGCAAAGAAATCAAAGTGCCATATATATTTGTAGCCGTATGTTGGCATTGCTTGAAGAATACAGCCACCAAATTGTTCATGCTTTTTATCACCCAGAAGTTTATAGAAGTTCTTCCTCATTCAGAAGCCTCCATGGAGAGATAGCTCAACTTCCTCTGTTAGAGAATTTTGTATATACAATTAGTTCTGACTTAGTAGCCAACTAAAAGACTCTCCATCATCATGCAGTCAGCTCATAGGAAAGTCACTGAATGCCTGCAAATGCGTAAAAAATGGCTCTCTGAGGCCTCATCATTATACATCAGCTTATATTTCTGCAAGCAGATTCTCCCAATATCTGAATGAGTCAGCAAAGTGGATTGTTGATGCTTAAAGGACTTGGTTAGCCTTATGTGTTTTTATATGCAAAAGTTAATTACCAGATAGTTTGAAAAAGAAAATACTGGAAAGTCACTTTCGCAGCAGTAAATGGAAGAATGGAATAGGATGTAATCTATGGAGTCAGAGAGACCAATTAGGCCATTGTAGTCATTCAGAAAAGAGGCTGTGAGGGCCTAAATTAAGGTGGTAGTTGTGTGAACAGAAAGAAAGTTAAATGTGGGAGATGTTTGTAAAGATAGAAGTGACAGTCTTTGACAAGATTTGCATATGTACAGTAAGGAAGATTGAGGATAATACTGAAATCCCAAAGCTGGGAGATTGGAAGATGGTGGCATCTTAAACAGTATTAGAGAAGTGTGAAAGAACAAAAGGTTTAAGGGGAAAGACAGTGAGTTCAGTTTTGTATATGTTTACTGTAAGGTTTCTATAGGACATTCAGTTTGAAAATCTGGAAGTCATCAGCATAGAGATGATGGTAAAAAGTGATTACCAAAAGGAAAAATAGGGAGGGAAAAGAGAAAAGGGCTTAAAATCAAACTTTGGGGACACCAGTGGTTAACTGGCATGATATTAATGATGGAGCCCACAAAGGAGACTAACAGTAATTGAAAAGAATTACATCTGGTGTTGTGGATTCAAGTTATCAAGCACTGGCTATGCAAAACCAAAATCTTTGAAGTAAAATTTCATTAGTGGTGACATGTGCATATGTTATCTAATTATGGGTTCTAATTCTTATACAGGGAACTATGGAAGATAAGATCTATGAACGTCAAGTAACCAAGCAATCACTCTCTTTTCGAGTAATTGATCAACAGCAAGTTGAACGCCATTTTACTTTGAATGAACTGACTGAACTTTATACATTTGAGCCAGACTTACTAGATGATCCTAATTCAGAAAAGAAGAAAAAGAAGGACGCTCCTATGCTGCCAAAAGTATATATGATAATTTAATTATAATTAAGCCTAGTATAAAAGAGATATTTTTATGAATAATTTTAAAAGTAATCATAATAATTTAGTTGGAGATTTTTAAAAAATTAATTTAGTTTTAGTTTTCAACATTCATTTCCACAAGACTTTCAGTTCCAAATTTTCTCCCCATCATGCCCCTCCCTCCACCCCAAGACAGCATGCATTCTGAATGCCCCTTCTCCTAATCTTCCCTCCCTTCTATCAACCCCCCCTTCTTTTATCCCCTTCCCCTTTTATTTTTCCTGTGGGGCAGGATGGATTGCTATACCCCATTGCCTGTATATCTTATTTCCCAGTTGCACGTAAAAACAATTTTTAACATTTGTTTTTAAAGCTTTGGGCTCCACATTCTTTCCCTTCCTCCCTCCCCACCCACCCTCACTGAGATGGCAAGCAACTCGATACAGGTTATACATGGGTAGTTATGCAAAACACTTCCATAGTTTTCATGTTGTGAAAATTAGTTGCAGATTTTAAAGAAAGCTTGAATTTCTTCAGCAAAATGGTAAAAGTTAATATTTATATTACTGAATCTACAGGTTAATGTAAATAATTAAACTGTGTCTGAAATTCATTATCTTGGAGAGTTGCTTGGCACACTGAGAAACTATATAACTTACCCAGAGTCACACATGGGACTTTTATCCCGGTCTTAGTTCTAAGACCTGTTATCTGTCCATTATGCCAAGCTGCTTCACTATAAAGAAAGTATTTAGTAAATTGTAAAGTGTTATATAAATATGAGCTGTTATTGCTACACACAGTATTATAACCACAAAAACATTACACAGTAACGGAATCAGGAAGTCCTGAGTTTAAATCCAGCCTTAGACATTAGCTGTGTGACCCTGGGCAAATCATGTGAAGACAATATTCCTTGGAAAGGACCCTGAAGGATTATACTCGGTTTTGCTGGGTAGGTGATTCTTGGTTTTTAAGCCTAGCTCCTTTGACCTTCAGAATATTATATTCCAAGCCTTCCCATTCCTTAAAGTAGAAGCTGCTAAATCTTGTATTATCTTGATTGTGTTTCCAGAATTGTTTCTTTCTGGCTGCTTGCAATATTTTCTCCTTGACTTGGGAAATCTGAAATTTGGCTACAATATTCCTGGTAGTTTTCCTTTGGGGATCTCTTTCAGGAGGTGATCGGTGGATTCTTTTAATTTCTGTTTTACCCTCTGGTTCTAGAATATCAGGGCAGTTTTCCTTGATTATACACACACACACACACACACACACACACACACACACACACATTTAATTTTTTCTTTTTTTTTTGGTGAGGCAGTTGGGGATAATTTCTTGAAAGATGATGTCTGGACTTTTTTTTTATTATTATGACTTTCAGGTAGTCCCATACTTTTTAAATTATCTCTCCTAAATCTATTTTCCAGGTCACTTATTTTTCCAATGAAATAGTTCACATTTTCTTCTAATTTTTTGTTCTTTTGGTTTTGTTTTATTATTTCTTGATTTCTCATGAAGTCATTAGCTTCCAGTTGCTCCACTCTAATTTTTTTTTCACTCTAATTTTGAAGGAAGTGTTTTCTTCAGTGACCTTTCAGACTTCTTTTTCCATTTGGCCAATTCTGCTTTCTAAGACATTCTCCTCATTGGCTTTTTGGACCACTTTTGCCATGTGGGTTAGGCTATTTTTAAAGGAGTTATTTTTTTCACTATTCTTTTGGGTCTCCTTTAGCAAGCTGCTGGGTTTTTTTTTTTTGAAATCTCTGGTAGAAAACTAAAAAGAATCAATGAAATTGTTTTTCTAAATGCAAGCTGTTTTACAGCTTGTATTTTTTAAAATTTGAATCGTTAGTGCTTTACACTTACAAGACATTTAATAAACATCTAATGACTTATTAGTTGAAATGCACACTGAAACTGGGTATTATAGGCATTACTGTCCCCATTTTACAGATGAGAAGGGTGAAGGTAAATAAGCCCCTATTTTACAAATGAGGAATCAAGAATGAGAGAATAAATAATTCTCTCAGAATAATAAAGCCCATAGCACGAATCTACTTCTTCTGATTCTGTTGCTCTTTTTCTTACACTGACTGTCTCAAAATAAAGCCAAATTAAAAAATGAGATATTTAAGGCTGACCTGCATGTTGTCAAGAAAACATGCTCTGGTTCTTAGATTTAATGCTAATTTATCTTTTTTTTTTTTAAACAGGACACAATCCTTGCAGAATTGCTTCGAATACATAAAGCATACATCATAGGATATCACGAACATGATTCTCTTTTGGACCATAAAGAAGAAGAAGAACTGACTGAGGAGGAAAGAAAAGCAGCATGGGCAGAATATGAAGCAGAAAATAATGTTGAGTCACTTAATTCCTTTATGGTATATTCAAAACTATATAGCATTGTTAAAAACATGTATAGTAGAATTTACCTCAGAATGAGAAGCATCCTGGAAAGCTGACCTTGAAGCCAAGAAGACTTGGGTTCAAATAATACTTCTGTCGTAATATAACTATGTAACCCTAGGCAAATCATTTAATCTCTCTATACTCTTTACAACCATCTTAAAGATCTATAAATTACAGAGAAGGTGTTTTCCTGGGAATTTGCCTTATCTAGGAGTTCCACAATCTTGTGAGCCGCAGTCTCTATGGTCTTTCCCTAGCTCTAAGGATACAGCTTTACTTGTTGTTAATGTCAATTCCTTTACATATGCATCTGTGCCTATGCTCTCCCGTATTTTCCAGCAGATTACAGCTTTCTTCACTTCTTCCCCACTCCAATTTTCAGCTTCCCTCTACCAACAGGTTCTTTCCTTCCCACCTTCAAATGTATTCTTGTCTTGCCCATCCTTAAAACACCTCCTACTATCCTCTCAAGCTATTGCCTTAAATCTTCTCCCCTTTCTTAACCAAACATCGTGGGGTCCAAAATTGTCCAATCTACAATAAAAGAAACTGTGGCAGAGTTCCAAGCCAATAGCACTTTACTTAGGGTCTATGGCCCCCTCTAATGAAGTGGACCTCAGAATCTTCCTCATGATCTAAGATGCTCCCTTCCTCCATGGTCTTAGTTTTACAGTGCTTAATACCCAGCTTATATAGAAGAGACACAGTACAATAGTCTTATTGGTTGATAGATCTTGACCTTGATCCTCTGGTTGAGGATGGGTCTTTCTAAACAAAATACAGAATGTCATTGGTTGACAAATGAGCTGACAAGCAGACCTTGACAGACTTATCTTGACCTTTCAAGTGGTCCTACCAAGCTAATGAGGAAACCCATGGAGATATCAAAATGTGACTATAGTTTTGCATATATATGTTCTTTTCTTCTTCCTTTGTTTATTTCAGATTTGCCTTGTGCTTAGTACACTGTAGTTGTCACATTTATCACTTTACATATATGAAAATGCAGGTAGTTTTGTTTGTGTGACAATAATTTTCTAGCTATAGACATCAACAATTCTTCAACATAATAAGTGGTATCAAATTGCTTGTTCCAAGCCTTAATATTTGAAAGTATTTTTGTCTCCTTTTTTGTTTCGTAGGGCCTGACTCTGCATTTCACTTTGCCTACTGTCACTTTCAGCTCTGAGCCTCCATTTATTCCTTTGGATATTGAAGCCCTCTCATCCATGAGCCATCAACAGCTGGAAGTAAGTTTTGAAAAAAAAGAAAGAGATGTAAATATAAATCTGAATCCAAATCACTGAAGTTTAAAGACAGTCACTGTCTCTGTCTGTCTGTCTGTCTTGTAGTCAGTCAAACAATGGACATGAATCTTAAGCATTTTTCTAGAATGCAAATTAAAAAAAAAGTCCCTGCTTTCAAAGAGCTGATATGTTCCCAAATAAGTAAGAAGAAAATATATACAAAATAAATGCACAGTGATTAGGATCATTTGTTAATATTGACTTAGTAATAATGTTCAGAATTCAAAAGAGCTGTACAAGGAAAGGAACAAAACAGGGCTAGGCAGAGAAAGGGGCCTAAGGGTAAATGGACCAAAGGCAGTTTGCTGGGTTCTGAATCAAGTATCCAAAAGTGAGCAAACTTTATCCACTGTGCTAAAGAGTCTGAAGGTTTGTCTATTTTATTGCCTTTTCTAGCTCTTAGTTTCATTTACTAGTTCAATAGTTGGCTTAATTTCAGTTTTATTAATCTCTCCTTTGGTTTTCAGAATTTCTGATTTGGTATTTAATTTGGGATTTTCAATTTGTTCTTTTTCTAGCTTTTTTAGCTGCATGACCAATTCACTGATCTCCTCTTTTCCTATTTTATTCATGTAAGCATTTAGAGATATAAAACTTCCCTTAAGAACTGCTTTCACTGCATCCCGAAAGTTTTGGTATGTTGTCTCATTATTGTCATTCTCTTGGGTGAAGTTATTGATTGTTTCTTTGATTTGTTGTTTGACCCATTCATTCTTTAGGATTAGATTATTTAGTTTCCAATTAATTTTTAGTCTGTCTTTCCATGGCCCATTATTACATGTAGTTTTTATTGCATCATGATCTGAAATGGATGCATTCAATATTTCTGTCTTTCTGCATTGGATTGTGAGGTTTTTATGCCCTAATACATGGTGAATTTTTATGTATGTGCCATGTACTGCCAAGAAAAATGTATGTTCCTTTCTATTCCATTCAATTTTCTCCAGAGGTCTATCATACCTAACTTTTCTAATGTTCTATTCACCTCCTTAACTTCTTTCTTGTTTATTTTGTGGTTAGATTTATCTAGTTCAGAGAGGGGAAGGTTGAGGTCTCCCAGTAGTATAATTTTGCTGTCTATATGTCCCTGAACTTCTCCTCTAAGAATTTGGATGCTATACCCTTTGGTGCATATACGTTTACTAATGATATTACTTCATTGTCTATGGTGGCTTTTAGCAGGATGTAATTTCCTTCCTTATGTCTTTGAATTAGCATCTAGTTTTGCTTTTGCTTTGTCTGAGATCAGGATTGCTACACCTGCTTTTTTTTTTTTTACTTCAGCTGAAGCATAATATATTCTGCTCCAGCCTTTTACCTTTACCCTGTATGCATCCCTTTACTTCAAATATGATTCTTGTAAGCACCATATTGTAGGATTATGGTTTTTAATCCATTCTGCTATCCACTTCTGTTTTACGGGAGAGTTCATCCCATTCATATTCACAGTTATGACTATATGTGTCTTTCTCTCCATTCTATTATCACCTCCCATTTATGCTTTTCTCTCTTCTTTCTTCCTTTCTCTCCTCACTAGAATTCTGCTTTTGGCTACCACTTCCCTCAATCTGTCCTCCTGTCTATCAGTCCCCTCCTTTGTCTTCCCTTTTAACCTTACTACTTCTTCCATCCCTTTTCTTTCCCCATTCTCCTCCTACTTCCTATAGGGCAAGTTAGAGTTCTATACTTAACTGATTATGTTGTTTCCTCTTTGAGCCTAATCTGATGAGAGTAAGGTTCAAACAATGCTCATCTCCCTCCCTTCTTTTCCTCTACTGGAAAAGGTTTCTGTGCCTTGTCATGTAATATAATATATACTTCCTGCCTCTTCTTTTCCTCTTCTCCTAGTACAATCCCTTTTCACCACTGAATTAGAATTTTACCATCACATCAAAGTCAACTTCTACCTATGTTCTCTGTCTATGTATATCCCTTTTAAACGGCATAATAACAATACGGTTTTCAAGAGTTACAAGTGTCATCTTCCCTTGTAGGGATGTAAACAATCTGTTCTTATTAGTAACATGTTATATTTTCTTTCATGTTTATCTTTTTATGCATCTCTTTTTTTCAATTCAATAAACATTTATTAAGTACCTATTATGTGTAAGTCACTATCTTAGACATTATGTATTAAAAAACTGACAAAACTGCCTTCAAAGGTCTTATAGTCTGCAGTGTATGTGTTTGTGTGTATGGGCATATCTACATATAAGTAATGAAATATATGTTTAATTGAAAAGGGGAGAGAGCACTAACAAAGAAGGGAAAAGGGGGAAAGTTTATGCCTCTCTTGAGTCTTGTATTTGAAGGTCAAATTTTCTGTTAATCTGGTCTTTTCATCAGGAGGGTTTGGAAGTCCCCTTTTGCATTGAATATCCATCTCCTGATACAAAGTGAATGACTCAGAGTGTGATTGGAAATGGTCAGTGCAGAAATTAAATGACTGTCTTGCTTTTTCTCATTACTTTTATTTTTCCTATACAATTTCTTTCACTTTCTTTTCTTTTTTAGTAAATTACCGCTCAATAAAATTATGGAAGGCTTTTTGGAATGACTTATTGAAATCCCAAGCTTAAAAATCTTTTTTTCTAAATTGTATTTCTACATCTTGATTTGTCTCATAGACTTATCATTTAAGCCTTTTTCTGTGCTTATTGCTCTGCTTTTTTACATTGTCTGTAATTTTATTTTCACCTTTATTAAATCTACACATCATTTTAAAATGTCTTCATTTCATTTCTTATGACATTTTAGGTTTCTCTCTCAGAGAGACTCTAGAATTCTTAACTATTTCAATGTTGCTTTAGTTATACTTTATGATGTTGTTATTAGATGCATTATTCTCCTCACTTCATTTCATACTACTCAAGATTCTCTGAAATGATGTCTTTTGCATTTATATACCACTTTATATGCATTTATATGCCACTATTTATTCAGCCATTTCTCAATTGTGTTAGGAGGCAGAGACTTTGGGATAGACACTAGTTATTTTCTTTTTCTCCTTTTTTTGATCCCTTGATTTAGGCTTAGGAAGTTTTAGTATGTTTTGTTTTGTTTCGTTTTGTTTATTAACCTTCCTCTTAACACTCTCCATTACCCATTCTTGTTTGTTTCTCTTTGGAGTTTATTTACATACCAAACTGTCCATTTGAGATGAGTATTTTAACTAATGCTTACCCTTCAGACCTTTTACTTCATGTTTATGTACTCATTCCAGTTATGAGAAATATACTCTCCGTAGTTCATTTTCTCCTTGTAGTCTTTTTCTTCTTGCCCTCAGGCTGAACTCCTCTTTAGTTCTTGTGTGAAAGAAGCCTCTGACTATAGTTTCTTATTGGTTTCTGTGTGTGTGTGTGTGTGTGTGTGTGTGTGTGTGTGTGTGTGTGATAGAGAGACAGAGAGTGAGGCAATGGGGTTAAGTGACTTGCCCAGGGTCACACAGTTAGCAATTGTCAAGTGTCTGAGGCTGGATTTGAACTCAGGTCCTCCTGACTCCAGGGCTGGAGCTCTATCCACTGCACCACCTAGGTGTCCCTAAATACCATTTCCTAAAAGTTGCTTAAGATTGGCCGATTAAAATGATTCTCAAATGATAATTTTGTAGAAAAGCACACTAATTGGGACAAACTCCTGGCATTAGAAAATTACTTCGTAACTCCTCTAAAACAGCCTTAAAACCTCAAGGAAGAGATGTAGCTTTCTGATTGGATGACTTCTCTTGAATCTCCATTTAAGGATGGATCCCAGTCCAAATATCTCTTCATTTCTTACTCCAGCTCCAGAAAACTCTTCATCAGAAGATCACTTCAGCCCTAGAATTCACACTTCAGAAGCATTCTTAGCCCCTGCTTCTCTTGGTCCAGTCACTTCTTCATTTTTCTCCAACTGCACTCAGGACTCTTCCATCTTTTACCTCATTTTTGTCCTCCCTCCCTCCCCTGCTTTCTTTTCAGCTTCTTTTAATATGTTTATTTCTTACATTAGAATGTGAACTCCTTTAGGGTACAGACTGTCTGTCTACTTGTAATTGCAGTCATATGTAGTGCCTGACACTTAGTAATTACTTAATAAATGATTGTTTACTGATATCTAAAGTCTTCTTAAAGCAGGAGTAGGAATAAGGATCCTCAAGAGTTTACAGGGTTTACTTTGTATTCCTAAGTGTGGCACATTGGTTTGTAATAAATAAATTCAATTTAAGAATTGGTGTTTTGCTGTATTTTGCTTTAGTGGAAAGAAAATACACAAATGACAGAAGCTCAAGTTTATTCCTTGGCATTAAGTAAGCAAGCCAGCCAGGAACGAGATGCTAAACAGAGAAGCCATCCACAATGATGTATCAATAAGACAGCAAATGGTAAATATATTTTTACATTTCTATAGACTTCACCAAGCTCCTCATTTAGAAATTTCAAAATAAATGAGGACAATAGTTGCATAGTCATGACTTTTTTTTTAAAGCAGGGAAACAAAAGATTATTTTGGAAAATATTCTTGAAGATGCTTAACTACTGACAACTCAATTTCTGACTCTTGATCCTTAAGCTGAAACAATTTGTTTTGAAAAATATATGTAGATAGATTGGCTAGCTGGATATAGCTAGATAGATGATAGATTGATTTCTATGTATAAATTTAGGGTTACACATACCTATATGCACATGATATATAATATTGTATGTTATATTACTATTGGATTATGTCTATTCTGCTAACATATCTGTTATTGTATAAATATTATGCTTTGTATGTATCATCTAAAATTTTAAGAAAATTATGTTACTTTCTGGATCTTAAATTCTTTATTTGTAATGCCAGTTCGTGAGATGAGTCATTTTAAATGCGATACTGTAATAAACTTATTTCATTTATTTCACTTTCAAACAAAAATAATAAGATTTATAGTTGGAAGGAACTGTACTTATAGGGAGGATATAACTGGGAAGTAGTAAATGAGAAAGCAAGGATTCAAAATTTAGCTTCTCTAAATCCAGATCCAAAATTCTTTCCATTCTATAGGGTCAATAACTTGAATTTTTCTTTCACAGTTTATAAGCTGTGCCCAGCGGATACAAATGGATAGAAAGCTACTACAATGATATAGTTAAGAAATATTAAATCAAGAAGAAGCTTCAACTCATCACCTTCAGCTACCAGCACCTCCAAATCTAGTCATAAATTCTTCTGCTTACAAGCATATTGATGTGAAAGGAATGTATCAGCCAGTTGTTCATGGTATGGAACCCCAAATAAAAAGAAGCAAGAATCCAAAAGCCTCTCAGAGGAAATCAATGCAATTTTCCTTTAAAGTGTTGAATGTGTTATAAAATTGACACTAGCTTAATGGAAATCATATGTCTTAATTCTTTGTTCCCTATAAATGTCATGCTCTATATTCTATTTAGATTTTTCTTAATTCATTTTATTTGGAAATTTGAGATTAATATTGGCTACATTTTTGTATATGCTAAATTGAGAAGAGATTTCAAATACTTTTCATTGAAAACTTATTCAAGAATAATAACACAGCATCTATACTATTTCCTCTAAATTTTGTCAACTGTTTATTTTCACTATGAAACCACCCTGAAAACAATCAAATTAATAAAAAAGTTTCTGTATTTATGTTTATCATATCTAATGTAAGCTGATAATAACAGATAATTTTGTTTTCTAATAGTTCTTGAAATTAAAAAGGAAGAAGTAATTTCATGTTGATTTACCTCAAATCATAACTGATGTTTGACTAAGTTGCATACATAGATGAGAAATTTAGGAATGATTAATCATCTTGAAGTGGTTTGCAATTTTCTTCCACAGCCACCTTTAAGTTAAATTTTAAAAGTTTACTCTCAGTTAATTGATTCCTTATTTTTTGCATGATCCTGTGGTGCAGGATTTGACCACAAATTGAAAGTTTTAAAGTATTTGAAGTAGTTAAAAAGATTTAAAGTATTCAAAGCAAGGTTTGTTTCCTCATTACAGTTTTTTATCTTCTATTTCTCCCCTCCAAAGTATTTAATTTAAAATGTTAGTATTAAAATTTCTTCTTTTGAATATCTTTCATAAATACCTCTCAATTTTTCTTGTGATAATTTTTGTTGTTTTTTTATTGGTTAATGAAGTGAAGATTATTAGCATATAAAAAAGTTCAACAGAAAAAAATACAAGACAATTAAATGATCCTATTTGTTGAAATGAGTTTTCAAATTTTAAGCTTTTTTTGAGGTTAGGTTTAACACATAAGAAATGTTAAAGTAATTGGAAATGTGAAAGAATGAAGCAAGAATTGAAAACTTTACGTAATCTGTCTCCCCCTCCCAAAATGTTAGAGAATATATGAATTGAATAAAACTTCCAACTTTACTGAAAACTTGCAGTAATACCTATTATAGTTGTTTGAGATGCCACTTATATTTGTTTTATATGATATGTGGTTATAGTGGCCTTGAACAACTGATTGCTTGTTAAACACACTTTAAATGATTTGTTTATTTTAAAGCCATTAATCATATTCTTTCTTTTATGTGTTTTAATTCAATTATATAATAAAACTTCAGTCTGTCATGCAAAAACTCATATACCTTTGAAAAATTAACCTTCATTTCTGTTAGATGTTTTTTTTAAATTCCTTACAAAACTTTAAGTGTTTTAGAAATTATTTTACTTCTTAGTTTTTTCAAATATACATAAGAACTAGAATTGCATGTCTGTGTGTGGGATAGAGACCACCTACCCAAAATAAAATTCAGAAGTTTCTCTCGTAGAAACAGAAGTTTTATTCTTGCAAGTCTCGCGCGAGAATTGGGCATCACCAACGAGGGCGGATTGGAGTGGGGAGGCAGAATACAAGCAGCAAGCAAGCAGTTATACACCCCTCGACAAAACAGTTCTAAGAAAACCCCACCCTCCCACCTTTTAACCTGAATCTCTTTATCCCGATTGGTTGAGGTAAGAGACCTTACATTCTACCCAGAAACTAAGAGATACACTTTACCCAAAACAAGCTTGGAAGCTAGAAGATTGCCTTATTTGGCAAAGATAAGGCTGGGGTGATGGTTACCAAACAAGTGAGGGGGTGTACAACAGGTGTATGACATGATCACATGATTTACAGGAAAACAAAACTTAGCCCCGGCTAATACTAAAGCCTTAACTAAATTTGGGGCATAGCTTCCATTTCATATGAGAAACTTTCAGTCATTCCACACATCTGTGTGGAGACTGGAAGTTAAAAACTCAAATACAGCAATGTATTTTATTTTTCAAAATGTTTTTTAGTACTTGTAGTTATTAATCTTTAAACATGTTTAAATAAAAAGTGATTAAAATACAGTGTTTTTATTGCTTAAGTTTTTGATTACCCAAACTAATCTGTGTGTCATATGTTAAATGTTGCCAGCATGGGTACTACTCTTTTGGGTTAGTTAATGCGTACATTTTATCCTATAATAAAGTCATTGAAACTTTTTTATCCTTAATTTGTTCTTCAGGAAAATAACAATACCAATTCCCATACTATTTCAGAACTCTTTTACAAATTAAAGTTTATTATTAGCTACGTTTTACTCAGTAACTGGAAACCAGAATTGAATGGGATTTCACAGGTCATCACAAACAAGCCCTGACTAAATACTAGTTTGCTTCAGTGATATTTGACAATTATTCATTTGCTCACCACTTGCAAATTCTCAATGAGAAATTCTCACAAAGCAACTCATCTTTTAGAAATTCTAATTTTTATTTTCTTTCATAAAAACTAATTTCAACTTCTGCTTTCTAATCCTACTTCTTCCATTTGAGTCCAAGTAGATCAAAACTAATGCTTCTCCCCCACTCCATTTGACTTCTACTGCAGCTGCCCAAGAAAAGAAAGCTGTAATGAGTTCTTACCTTCTGTCATCTGAGCTCTTCTTTTGTATCCATCTTTCCTGATCCGTGCTAGATCCAGTCTGCCCAATGTTGTCTTGACCAGAGAAGACTGGAGAGGGTAATGTAGTATCTAATGGGGCTCAGAGTAGGGTTTCTCACCCAGTACCTTGGGAGTTCCAGACCAGTGTGATCAACAAATTTTGACACTGCCTCAGCAGGAGTGACTGATTTTGAAATTGTTCTTGGTAGTCTCATTATTGCTTAAACCAGAAGCTCTTTGTTGAAGCAGCAGCTGCTCTCCTATGTTATCCTGGGATTTGCCTTGTCTGAAGCTATGGGCCTCTTTGTTTGATGGTTGGTTTCTTGATCTTGTTTCCCACACCCCCACTCCCAACTAGGAGACTTCTATTTAGAGTATAAACAAAATCCAGTCTGAATGAGTTCTTACCCTGGGGAAAAGAGCTCCTGTTCTTGTATCCCTCCATTAGAATTTAGAGTGACCCAGCTAACGAAGGAGAAAACCAGCCAGCAAGGTCCTGACCAGATAGCTGGAAGCAGCTGAGTTTCATGTTCAAACCACATTTTCAGTAGGAGAAGCTGAAGACTTTTGCAGTTGATTTTCACTTATTAAGGGATTCCCTTTCAGAAGGGATTTAGGGCTTTCAGAATCTCCATTAAGGGTCTTTGGTTAGAGAGAAACAACTGATCATCATTTATTGATTATTAGCTAGTCTAATTAATAAATTGTTGTTAATTAACCAGAAATTCTATATCTCAGGGTTTTTCATTCATAGCAATGAATATGTACATTATTTCCAAAGTTATTTTATTAAACATGATAACTTTAAAACAAAACAAAAACTTAATGCTTCACATGAAGCATTTTGCCACATTTGGGTAGATGGAAGTATATGAACTAACAGAGGATATCAGTAAATGTACCAAAAAGGCAATGTCACAGAAAGAAAGGAAAGAGCAAAGAAACTGTATTGCTAGGAAGGGGCAATTAATAGTGTTAGTCTTAAAGAGGTAAAGGAGAATAAAGAATGAACATTGTAAGAAGTACAGCACCCAGCATGAGGAACATACTATTTCCATAGTATTTTGGCCTTGTCAGACCACATATAGAAAATTTTGTTCAGTTCTGGGTGTCAATTTAAAGAAAGTCATTGGCAACAAAAAATATGTCCTAAGTTCAACCTTGTTGGTGAAGACAGTGGATGTTAACTTTTCTTTTTTTATTACATGATAATAATCAAATATTTGAAGAGCTATCTGGCTAAAGAGGAATTAGATATATCCACCTTGATCTGAACTTGGAGCAATAGATGAAAATTATAAAGCAAAAGAGAAGGAAGTGAAGTCAAGATGAAAAAATAGCAAGAAGTAAAGCAAGCTTCTCCCCCTTCCTTCCCCACCCAAAAAAACCAAACCCAACTCCAAACATCTAGACAAGGTACCAGACCAAATCCTGTTGGCGAAATCCAAGAAAAAGCCACTTTTCTAGCTCAGGTCAGCATAGAGAGACAGAGAACAACAGTTGATAATATTTACATACTTACAGTATTTATCTCAGGATTCCAGTCCCAACTTGTAGCTCAGATTGAAGCCTGCAGTGGATAACCAGAAAAGGAATCCCAAATCAAAGGAGAACCTTTATTTCTATCACTGAACCAGAAGAATTTCCCAACTGGTTGATAATGGCTGAGCCAGAAATCAGTTTACTTTCAAACCCAAATCCTGCTCAAAACTTGGAGAGCTTAGACCTGCAGGAAATAATCAGATTGTGCCCTATACCAGACCACTTTGGGAACATTGAAAACTTGCAGATCTTCAGCCTGAGCTGCCCCTGAGATCTTGGAATATCACAACACCCAGTTCTTCAAAAAAGCAGGAATAGGACCAACACAGACCTTCCTTCCAGAACAGCACAGAACCCAACCCTAATATCAAGCCAGAAGTCAGGAAGTACCCTTAAAGAATGAACAAACAAAAGAATACCATTATAAGGAACTATTGTGGTGGCAGGGTTGCTCAAAACAAACTCAGTAGAAGAGAACAACACTACAACATCTTCAAGCAAAGCCTTCAAGAAAAGCACAACTTAGGCACAAATTCAAACAGAATTCCCAGAAAAATGTAAAACAAGAATTTAAAAATTTTTCAAACATTTTAAAACAATTCAATGAGAGCACCAAAAGTAAAATGGAAAAGCGGCGACAGCTATAGAAGAAAGAATAAGAAAAGGGATTAAAAGCATGGCGTAGGAAGTACAAAACCTTGTCCAAGCAACAAAATCTAAAAATTAGATTGTACGAAAGAAAAGGCAGTGACTCCATTGGAGAACAAAAATATTCCAACAAAGCCAAAAGAATGGGGGAGGGGGAGAAATATAAGGTATTTCATTAGGGAAAAAAAATCTGGAAAACAGATTAAGGAGGAAAAAATGTCATTGAACCTTATGAACAAAAAGAAGCCTAAGTATTGTATTTCAAGAAATCTTAGAA